AGCTTGCAGGAGCTGAGGGTTTCTCTAGGCAGGGCCAGGAGGGGGCTCACTTTAAATTTCATGTCCTCAGCAGCAGTCTCACCAAGATGGCTTCCTGCCTGCTTGAGGAGAAATGGCACCTTCACTGAGCTGGAAAGGGAATGCCACCCAGGGCCTTTCTTGGCCTTACCTTTCTTTTTTCATTTTACTGGAGTCATCTGGTCCCCAAGCTAATTTTCCACAAATGGCGCCTGTAGAAAACTTAGGTGCAGGGAGTGCCTCTTTCTCCATTCCCCTGAACACAGGACGCCTGGTCAGTCTCCATGAGGAGACAGTTTAGCTCATCTAGGCCCATCTAGGCCAGACTCCTGAACTGCAGGGTTACCAGATAAGATTCAAGATGATCTGTCAATTCAAATGTCAGATTATTCTTTTAGTGTAAATGTCTCCCATGCAATATTTGGGACATACTTATACTAAAAATAAAAATCATTTATTTGAAAGTCAAATTTAACTGAGCATCCCAGATTTAAGTGCTAGATCTGGTAAGCCCGCTTTAGGAGTATGGCTACTTGTATCCAGAGGAACTATTTGTTCTGTTTGGTAGCTGGTACCAGATTCAAAAGGTGAAATGTAACCTGCCAAAGTTGAATCTCAGGGCACAAGAGGTAAGAGCAGGGGGGAATGAAACCTTACAGAGAAATTTCTGGTAAGTTCAGGAGGAAAGAGGAGGGTGGGTGGAGAGACATACCTCAGAAGACAAGCTAAGACAGTCTGGCCAACTGGGTTGTTGGGAGCACCCTGGAATCTTTACATGGTTAAAAAACAAAATTCAAAAAAAAACACAACTAAATTCAACAGAGAAAATTTGAAGATCTAATTGGCTTTATTAAGTGGTTCATGAATGGGGCAGCATCCCATCGAGCAAGGAGAGAGATACTTTGAGTAGTTAACCTACCTTTATAGTTTAAAGGAGGGGCGCCCAGGGACAGAGAGCCCTTGCCCAAGGGTACTGGCTGATGGCATTCATCTGTGGGAGAAAGGGAGGGGAGTATCTCTGGGAGAGAAAGAGAGGGGAGTGACTCCAGGCCCTCACTGAGAAGGGGCAGTTGAATTGGGGCAGAGGTGACCTCTCTGTTCCTCAAAGCCCCTCAGGCCTGGAGAATTCAGGTCACTTCCTGGGGCTTCCTGAAGGCAGGCTGCTCATGGGCCTTAGCCTGGACTTAAATGCCTTGTTTGGTTTGGCCACTGCTGTTGCCCCTCAGGGCTCAGTCACGCATAAAGGGTCCATAAACTATGTATCTCTAGCCAAAGAATAAAGACAATAAAGCCACCCTCAGGGGCAGAGGTCACCTAGTCACTGATTGAGATATTCACAACTCCTTTTCCTCTCTCCTCTCTTCTTGTCCCCTCTTTCTCCTGAGGTCTCGTCCTGCCTGACTCTTTACTTTTCCCTTTTCTCCAAAACCAAAGTTATCCCCGGAAATAATCGAGATGTGAGGCTGGAAAAAAAAAATCATGTCATGCAAAATGAAGCTTGAAAAATAGGAGTGATGGTGGATAAAACCCACCAGTTAAGAATACCTCGCCTCTGTTGAGGCTACAGTCCAACCCGTAGTTCAGAGGTCGGCAAACTTTTTCTGTAATGGGTCAGATAGGAAATATTTTAGGCTTTGTGAGCTACATTCAGTCTCTGTAGCATAATCTCCCTCTTTACCTCCCTTCTCCTCCTCTTTCTTTTTCTACTTCTAACCCTTTAATTATCAAAAAACACACACATTCTTGGCTACTGGGGCCACAGAAATACAAGTCTCTACGGGCCAGATTTGGCCTGCAGGTTGTCAAATCACATTCAAACAAGAAGTTAGTCTAGTTCACCCCCATTCTGTCTTGTTTGGGAATGGAGGGAGAAAAGAGGGAGAAGAGAGGCCCCCATGCTTTAATACCAAGGACTGGATGAGTGACTCCAAACCAAATAAAAAAACAATAGGCAACTCGATTTTACAAAACGCCATTCCTGAACTATATTAAGTTCCTTGGGAGTTGAATGAGTTAAGGATGGCATTTTTTTTAGGTGGCAGGAATTCCCTCTCTCAGCTTGGGTGAAAGAGAAGATGATTTGGGCAATGCAGCCTCTGTCCCCAGGGAGGGGGTGGGGGTGGGGGGCGGACAAGGAACGGTGGAATAGGCCTGGATGAAGAAAATGGAGCTTGGCGACAGATGGACGGTGGGTGCCCCAGACCTAGACACCAGGGACGAGAATCACTGTCATAAACTATGATGTGGTCCAGAGGTACCCTTCCTGTCACCTTGAGTGAGAAATCCTGTCTCAAAACAGAAATGAACGTACAAATACCCAGGATAATCAAAAGCTTCCCTCCACTTGTTCAACCTGAGATGATTTACATTTTAGAACTAAAGGAGCACTAGGCAGCTAGAAGGAACTTGGTGTCCCAGGGAAATGTGTGCTCCAGAACGTCCGACAAGCTTTGTACCCCAAATCCATTCTCCTTCCCCTTCAGGTCTCTGGGGGAATGACTTGTAAACACACATCAATGCATCATTGCATATTTCTGCCTCTGCCTGGGTCCCCCTCTCCCCTCGTTGCACACTCCCCACCTACAAGAGGTTCTGATCCTGAAGCAAAGGGGAAGATCTCTTCCAATATAACTTGTCCTTCTGGCACCCAGAGTCACTGCCAGTGTATCTTAGAAGCTGGAGGCTAATATCTAGGCACTCCCAGAGCAGTAACTGTACACAGCAGCAGCAGAACCTGGTGGGCCAGGACCATGGCTCACCATAAGCCTTGCTCCCAGACTTGGCTGGTGACTGAGCATTGCCCACCACCCACAGTTTTACTCCATTTCCTGTATTTCTGGGGCTCTCTTCACAATCCCAAACTGGATTCTGATAGCCCTCGTGCAAACCTCTGTCTTTCTCTTTCTTCAAGTTTAACCCTATTTACTTTAGCCGGCGTCTCTGAAGTTCAAACATATCTATGCATACATATCTGCCTGCACAGCCTTGATTGACAAGTGCAATGAAAATGTCTCATTTCTGTCTGGTTTACATTTCATTACATTGGGCAGTGATATGCCTTAGCTTGCAGAGGACAAAGGCAAAACAGATTTTTTTAAAGGGTTGATTAACAATATCTATTTGTTCATTCTATTGAATTTTAAAAGTACTCAGAGCTTACAAAGTATTTGTCAAATGATGGGAGTGTAGTAAAAACTCTGATGTAGCCAATAAAATCTGGGGCCCAAATGAGAGGTAGGCAAATGTGTCCACGGGTCCAGAGCTCTGAAGATCGATATAGTTCAGCTCTGCCCCTGAAGACAATTAACAGCTTTATCTTAGCATAAAAATAAGGAGGAGTTAAAAACTCATTCCTTTGCAGCTTCCTTCCCCTTTCATTTTTTATTGTGATTTGCAGTTTTTCTTTTAAAAAGATCTGGGACTGTGTGAAGAGAGGGTGGGAATTTATGTGAAGAAAGTGTCGTTTACCAGGGGAAAAAAAAATGTGAAGAATAGTGAGTTTAAAGGATGGGTTTCTATGAGAAACACTTTTTGCTTCACTAGGAAGAGGCAGGGGCACCAAATTCACCGTCTTGGAATAATTCCCTTCCTGGATTCAAAGATTCATTTATTGAAATAAATCAGGAAGCATTGGCAGAACGGAAATCCGCTTGCTGGGTTTAAAGGGTCTTTAAAATGTTGAGAGTGTTAGATTGCAAATCTTTTCTAAATACAAAACAGAAGAAAAGACCGCAGTGTTTCCCTTGGACTTAAAGAAAATTGCTAGGTCTCCGACTTAGGATAATTTCATGTCCGCCACAGAAAATGCGTTAAGAAAGAAATCCTGCCTGATAGCACAACGTGCTGTTTTTCAGGAGGCTGGAGCGAAAAGTGCTGCAGAGTGGGGCTCTGGGTTGTATGGAGAAAGCAGTTGGTCCCTACTGCCCCTCTGGACATTCTGTTTCCCTCTGCTTCTCCAAGATGGATCCTAAAATTCAGGCTCAAAAGCTTTGCCGGTTTGGCAGTGATCAGTTGCTCTGATTTTCTTGATTGCCTTAGATTTGGGAAAGAAAATAAATCTTTTTGCTATTTACTGTGTAATAGCACTGCGAGGGAACGGATCCCATTATATTTCCTATCCTTACAGACATGTGGATATTTAGACCAGACCACATACAACTGGGGGACGCATAAAAGAGATTTATTGGTTAATTTACGCCGCCTAATACACATGTAAACCCCAGTAAGCCAAAGCTGCCGAGGGAGCCTCCGTTACAGCGTAAAATAACCAAGACCTGTGGGTTCGAGTTGCCCTGCCCTGCTCAGCCCTGCGATTCTTTCCTCCACCTGAGAAACCAAGGAAGAGAGCTCTAGACTTCTGCCTTGCCCCAGCTTGTGTGCAGGAAAAACTTTTCTTCGCTTTCCTCTTTCGGACACCACTCTGTTCTCAGACTCAGCTCCCTAAACCCCCCTGTCCCCCGAAGTTGTTTCCGGGGTCCCCTCTGAAAAGCCAGTTGAAGGGTGGGGCTGCAGGTAATCAGGAAAACTTTGCTGTATTATCATCATCCTCATTATTATTATTATTACCTAACAGGAGTGGTTTGCTTTGGAGGGGTGGGGGAGGCTTTGTTTTCATCTGCGGTAACTTGTGATATCTGGAGATACTTCGCTTTCTACTCTGTCTCAGGACTCAGGGCTCTCCTCCCCGAAAAGGAAACCTCCCTCCAACCAACCGAAATAGAATTCGAAATAGTCTGCCTCTGCCCTGCTGTTCCCGAAGCCCCCTTGCGTCGTCCTCTTGGGGGCATCTGCGGTTCCTGCGCCGCACGGAGCAACGACACCCCCTCAGAGTAGCACCCTCGGGCTGGCCCCGGCTGCCCCAGGAAAGGCTCCACCACCCGGGGTTTTGGCCTGGCTGAACCGCCTCAGGTCGGCCTCTTAACAAGCATCCCCTCCCCACTTCTCGGTTGATGATCTAATTGAATTATGCCTTTTTGTTCCAGGGACTACAGAGCACGTGCTGGAGGCAATTAATTATCGGAATGTGGCCATATCAAAACGGACACTGGGCACCGGGTAGGTCAACGGCGGCAACATCCCCCTGCCCTGCGCGCGGGGACCCCTCCCCAAAGGGGCCAGGCTAGGCTCCCTTAGCCGCCCTCCTTCCGCAGCCCCTCGCTGGGCTGCCCGCCTGGACTCCCAATCGCGCAAGGCCCCGGCTTCTCGGGGCACCTGGCAGGACTCCCCGGAAACCCTCGCCTCAGAACTGGCCGGGCTGGTGCTCGACAGCCAGCTCCCTCCCCGCCCCCGAGCCTCGAGAACCGCTCTCTGGACTGGCGCCCTGAGGAAATTCAAAGTTTTTCAAACGAACCAGGCGCCCAGGGAACTTGGGGGTTGGTGGGAGGTGAAGAGAGGTAGAAGGAAGGATGAATATAAAGGGGAAAGTGAAAAGAAAGGGGGGAAAGAAAGAAAAGCAGTCCCCCCTTTTTGTAAACCTGACTCCAGGGAATTCATTTGCATGATTTAGGCACATTTGTTCTTCTCTGAAATCCCCACCCCCGCAAAGAAACCCTCTGCTGAGCACCACTGAAACCATTCTTGGAGAGCCTATTTTCAGTAGATGTAATAATTTAAGTCAGCAGTGAACTCACCTTCCAACCTGGGGAGAGAGCTCTGATGTAGAGAGGGAGAATTGGGGCGAGTTGGGTGAGAGGGGGTGACTATGGTAAATGTGCTACCGGCAGGGTTTTCCCCCAGTAAACTGGCAAAGAAAGACGGTGAAGTCTCGGCCAGGCCAGGCGGATGGGGGGCAGGAAGTGAAAGGCTGCAGTAATAAAGCGCTGCTTGAGGCGGTCTCTCCAAGTGCCTCTGAACTTGATCAGACGTTCTGTTTCCTACACAGGGATGGCGGCCAGGCAATGAGACTGCTTCAAGGCGCAGACTTTGGGGCTTGGCCCTGGTTGGGATGTGACAATCACAGCCATCTCTCTCTTGGCCTTTCCTTTCCACTCTCACTCTCCTGTATTCTTTGCAAATGCCCTGCCAGACCCCCCCCCCCAAAAAAAAAGTGGATTTATAGTGCTATGTGAACCTGGCCATTATGTCCAGAAAGACCTTGCACCAGACAGGGAGTGGGGGGAGTAGGGAGGGTGACTCCACACACAACACTGGCAAGTAAATCCTTAAGGGATAAGACGTCCCCCGAGGTAACTTCGTGCTTCTCTGGGTAGGGGTAGAAGAGAGCAAAACTTTGGATGTTCAGAGGGAAGAAAATTCCACCTCACAGTACTCATTGCGGCTCTCCACTTTTGCGTTTGAAAATGTTGAGAACTCAAAGTTGATTAGCCCTGTTGTTTGAAATCTGTGCTGATCTTGTGTGTGTCTAGCGAATTTGCTATGCAGTCTGCTGTGTGTGTTTTGTGTCCACAGGCTGTTTTTAGTGCATGTTTAGTATTTGTGCTTGTGCATGCGTTTGCTGTTTTGTGCATGCGTTTGCTGTTTTGTGCATGTATTTACTCCGTTGTGTTTAGTTTGTTGTGTGCCTGTGTTTACAATTTTGTGTGCGTAGTTTGCAGTGTTACTGGGTTGTGTGCTTACTGGCGTGTTTAGTTATGTGCGTGTTTGGTGTGTGTTTACTGTGTTGCGTATGTTTCCTGCTGCGTGCTTGTGTTTACTGTGTTATATGATTGCTGTGTTGTGTCCGGTGTCCTGTGTGCGGTGGGGTGGTAGGGGCAGCGGCGAGGACAGCCACTACTAACAAACTAAAGACCCAACGCTTGGCTCATACCAAAGTGAGGAAGATCGGCCCTAAGTGTAATCGTTTCTCCTCGCTTGGGCCAAAGGCGGCAAGCGACAGCTCCGGACACAGACAGCTAGCTGGCCGACCTGGGTCTGGGGTCTAGGACCATCAGGGCCCACAGTAGCTTGTGGGGAGGAAGCAGCTAATAGGCTGTAAGCGTGGAACTGCTACGCTCGCCCAGGGAACGGCGCCCTGGGGCCGCTGAGGGGACACATTCTCGGAAGAAGAGGCGGAGGAGGCCCAAGCGGCACTGGGCGTCCAGCGCCGCACCGACGGTGGGAACGATCCTCGCGGGGAAGAGTTCTTTTGGTATAAGGGGGTAAAGCGCGCGCGAAGGATGCTTGTCCGCTTCCGGCCAGAGGGAAGGCAGGGAGAGGTCCGACTCCGCCCCGCCGGCCGCTGGCTAGAGCTTGATTCCAGCTTTCCACAGCAGCGCAAGCCCCGTGGAGAGCCCACTCACGGGCGCCCGGCAGCAGCCGCCTCACCTGCCGGGCGCCCGGCCACGGCCCAATCAGCGGCAGTCGCTCGGCCGTGGCTGCCATGTTCCCAGCTCCGCGCTGCCAATCAGGGTGGCGGCAGCCAATGGGCTGCAGGGCCGGAGGTCAGGTGACTGTGGGCCAGCTGGTTCCCCATTGGCGCGCGCCGGCGGCCTCCCGCTCGGTTTATGTGAGAGGAGTGAGTGATTGACTTTATCAGTCCAAGGACATTACTCCGGAGGCGAAGAGGCTGGGATTCGCCCTGCGAGCGGCGAAGATCGAGCCTGCCTCCTGCCCGCAGGCCGGCCAAGAGCCGGCTCGGCTACTAAGCACAGCCTAGCTGGGAGGCTGGTGCCAAGGGAGCCTCCCGGCCCCGCGGTTCTGCGCTCTCGCGGAGAGGAGGGGTGCCCGGGACAGGATTGGCAAACTCCGCCCTCCACTTATTATTTTGCTTATTTTTCTTTGTGCGCTCCTGTTAGTTTGTTAAACCAGATCTAGTCCCAGAGTCTTTTCTCCTCCCTTCTCCCCACTCTTTTCCACCCCCTCCCCCCAACCCCCCGCCTGTTCCTTCTACTTCCCCTCCTCCTTCCTATCCCTCTGCAGGAGACTCTCGCAGCGACGGAAAGTTGCAGCCCCGGCTACCGCCTTGGGGGTCTCGCGGCAGTATCCAAACGCCGCCACCCCTTTCCGACTACGGCACTTCGGAGATCTTCGCCCGCACCCTCGCGCATTTCAGCGGTATCGCCTGTGCCCAGAACGCCCCACCCATGACGATGCTCCTGGACGGAGGCCCGCAGTTCCCCGGGCTGGGAGTGGGCAGCTTCGGCGCACCGCGCCATCATGAGATGTCCAACCGCGAGCCGGCGGGCATGGGGCTGAATCCCTTCGGGGACTCGCCCCACGCCGCCGCAGCCGCTGCAGCCGCCGCAGCCGCCGCCTTCAAGCTGAGCCCCGCCGCTGCTCACGATCTGTCTTCGGGCCAGAGCTCGGCGTTCACGCCGCAGGGTTCGGGTTACGCAAACGCCCTGGGCCATCACCACCATCACCATCATCACCACGCCAGCCAGGTGCCCAGCTACGGTGGAGCCGCCTCCGCCGCCTTCAACTCCACGCGCGACTTTCTCTTCCGCCAGCGCGGCTCGGGGCTCGGCGAGGCGGCCTCGGGTGGCGGGCAGCACGGGCTCTTCGCCGGCTCGGCGAGCAGCCTGCACGCTCCAGCTGGCATTCCCGAACCCCCCGGCTACCTGCTCTTCCCCGGGCTGCATGAGCAGGGTGCCGGGCACCCGTCGCCCACAGGGCACGTGGACAACAACCAGGTCCACCTGGGGCTGCGCGGGGAGCTGTTCGGCCGCGCAGACCCCTACCGCCCGGTCGCCAGTCCGCGCACGGACCCCTACACGGCCGCCGCGCAGTTCCCTAACTACAGCCCCATGAACATGAACATGGGCGTGAACGTGGCGGCCCACCACGGGCCTGGCGCCTTCTTCCGTTACATGCGGCAGCCCATCAAGCAGGAGCTGTCGTGCAAGTGGATCGACGAGGCTCAGCTGAGCCGGCCCAAGAAGAGCTGCGACCGGACCTTCAGCACCATGCATGAGCTGGTGACACATGTCACCATGGAGCATGTGGGGGGCCCAGAGCAGAACAACCACGTCTGTTACTGGGAGGAGTGCCCCCGCGAGGGCAAGTCCTTCAAGGCGAAGTACAAACTGGTCAATCACATTCGAGTGCACACGGGCGAGAAGCCCTTCCCATGCCCTTTCCCGGGCTGCGGGAAAATCTTTGCCCGCTCCGAGAACCTCAAGATTCACAAGAGGACACACACAGGTAAGGGGGCCGGCAGGCGAGCGCTGGTTGCTTCGCGGCACCGCACTGCCCAGCGGAATTCAGCGCCAGGGAGAGAGGGGTGGCGCCCTGCTAGGGCTGTTCGGAATAGAGGCGCTGTCAGTGTCCCTCCACCTCTCGTCCTTCCCATCCCGCGGCGCTTTTGCCCAGTTCTAACTTCCCGGGCAAGACGGCTCTGCGGTCTCGGGAACTAATTGGAACCTTCTCGCGCCCAGGAATGAACTGGCGCCGCCTCTTTTTCTCTCTCTCTCCCTCTCTCTGTCTCTCTGTCTCTCTCTCTCTCTCTGGGTTATTATGAAGGGACTCCTAATGTGTTGAGAGCATATTGCTTACAAGCGCCCCAGCTCCCCGCACGCATTAGGGGAAGGCTACCATAGAAATGCTAATGAAAACTAACTTTCGGTTACTTCCGTTCTTTTTTACCCTTGATTGGCACATCTCCTAATTAAATGACTGATACTTTTGTCAAACTATTTTTATTTGGAGTTCCAGGTTCAATTCAGTTCTCCGGGAGGAAAGCTAAAGTAGAAAAAGCACCACAGTTTCGTGGCTTGTTCAGGACATCTTGTAAAACTGTCTGGATCCCCTGGATTTATATAGTTTTCTCTTTCCGAACGTTAAGTACGACGACCCAAGCTTTTTAATACTGGGCTTAGCAAAATCGCTGCATTTGAAAGAGGCAAATGAAAAGGTACAAAGGAGGAACTGAACGGGATTGTCCCGTTCCCGGTTCATTGTCCCGGCCGGGCTAGGTTACATCGCCAAGGTAGCGGCGGAACGTGTCCGCGCGTTTGGAGCCCTGGGCCGTGCGGGGTGGAACCACAACTTAGGGGAAACTTTGGAGGAGCCAGGGGCTTCCCTTGCTGCGCGAGAACAAAGGGACGAGCAGGTTCTGGGCCCGCCCTGCCCCCCCCCCCCCCCCCGACCACCACCCTCTAACCCCGCAGGCTCAACCGG